AAATCTAAAACAACAATGAAAACTCAACAATAGAAAAAAAATCCAAGTTTCATTCAACATCGAAACATGCAAAGACAAATAACTAAAAAAAACACATTAAAAATAACATACAACCCTAAGAATTACAAAAACGAAACATCATTCAACATAAAAATGTAAAACATCAAAATTAATAAAAAAAAGAAGAAGATATTTTACCAAAAAATAAAAGAAAAAAAAAGAAAGACAAAAAAAAATCATAGACCAAACCATGTATAATAACTTTGCAATAGCCTTCAAAACTCAACTTTAAACCTCTTGCAATGAAAGACAACTAACTCAACACAAAAATAACCTAACAACAACAATAAAGCCTACAAAAGAAAAAATAAACAACTTTGTTAAAAATCTTAAGAAAAAATCTAGCACTACATGTAATATAATTACAAATGCTCATCCTCTGCTATTAAACAGAACAAACAACCATACAAATAACAAAATTAAAAACTAAAACTAACTTTACACAAATACAACCTAACAGCAACAATAAAGCTTGCAAAAAAAAAAAAAAAGGAAACCTTATCAATAACCATTAACCAAACCAAAAATGAGTCACTAACAAAGCTAAAAATTTATCTATATAATTTGAGTAGTAAATGAATCTTATCGATTTAGTAGAAAACATAATCCACAAACAAAATAAAAAAGTAATAGGTAAAAGAACAAAACTAAAATGGAAAAACATAATGTAATAGTATATTTATAATGCAAGTCAACACATAAGTAAAACTTTAAACATAAATAAAACAAATAATTATAAACATAAAAGAAGGAAAAAGAGAAAGACAAAGAAAAGGGAAAAAACAACAGTTGAATAGCATAAAGGGAAAAACAATAACACAAATATAACAGAGTTTTTAATGATATAAAGAGAAAGAATATCTTTTGAACATCTTTTGTAAAAATAATATTTATTTTATTTGACATCATAATAAACAAAACAGAGCTATCCAAACACAAAACCCATACATATTATTCATACACTATCATAATCTTTTCAAATACAGATTTCACCAAAAATCACTAAAGCAAAATCTAAAATAACAATGAAAACTCAAAAACAAAAAAATAATCCAAATTTCATCCAACGTCAGAACATGCAAAGATGAATAACTAAAAAAAAATACATTAAAAATAACATGCAACCCCAAAAATCATAAAACCCAAACATCATACAATATAAAAACGTATAATGTCAAAATCAACAAAAACAGAAAAATAAATTTTACCAAAAAAAAGCAAAAAAAAAAAGGAAGGACAAAAAAAAAATCATAGACTAAACTAAGTGTAATAACTTTGCAGCAGCTTTTAAAACTCAACTTAAACTTCATGCAGTGAAAGCAACTGTCAAAGAAAAAACAACATCCAAAACACCTGTAAGAAGAAAATGAAACACCTATAAAGAGTATAAAAAATTTCTGTCATACGTTCAAATCATCTGAAACTAAAAAAACAGCCTTCCTACCTTAAATGACATAGCATCATAAAAGGAAAAAACACATGCCTTAGTATGAAAACTTAAAGGGACCCTTTTTATATAATGGTGTATAGATATTCTTTTCTTAATCATTGTTGATTTTGCTATTAGAGCAATCTAAATAAAATAAAAGTAAAATCTCAACTTTGAAAACCTAAATAAATTAATTATGGCTTAAATAGGTATAAAGATATTCCAAATGAAGGATTAAGAATTTAAGATATTTTGTCTTTAATAAACAAGAGATGTGAGAAATATTAAAAACATTTTTTTTTAAATCAAATATTATTAACACTTTGTTGTTAGCATTTTGGAATTGTATTTAGGAATTGTCATAATGTATAAATTCATTGACCTATAGCTAAACTTGACTTTAAGGAGTCGCCACCAGTTTTTTTTTTAGATGTGATTGGTCACCTAATTAATCTATTCTTTTGAAGATATTCTAAGCTTGACTAAGGGTTCCTAAAAATTAAGTTATGGTTTACATTTCAAAACAGAGTTTGAGAGTTCGAGTATATGTAAAGAAGGTTATAGCACCCTCACAACTCTCATTCTAAGATAGTGTTATTTAATTTTTAAATTATCTTAACAATTATCTTGGTTCTAATGATCTTTATTTAATATTTAAATATTAAAAATAATTCTTAAGAATTTTTATCAATCTGGTAGAATTCTTAAAAATACTTTCTTACATAAAGAGTATTCAAGAATCTTATTTATTTTTTTGAAGAGGCTCTGTCGTCGAAAAAAAAGACTTAATCAATTATTTTTTATTAAAATTTGCTTTATTGAAAATATATCTAATTCCTTCACCATTTAGGCCAAAATTAGAAATATTTTCTCACCTAAAAATGTCTTAAATAATTATCCATTTTTAATTAGTTAGAATTTTATCTTCGGAATTTATCCTTTAATTTACAATTTTTTTAAAAAACCATTTGAGCCTAATTTAGAAATATTTTACAAGTTTCATTTTTAAATTTTCATTTCTAAATTTTTTAATCATTTGGGTTAAATTTAGAAATATCTTTCTCACCTAAAAATTAAACTCTTGTTATTTGTTATTCGTTTTTTTAGAAAGAAAATAATATTACAATTATTTTTTGAAGTCTCATATAAATTCTTTTACTATTTGGGTTGAATTTAGAAAAACTTTTTACCTAGAAATCTTATGAAATTCAACCGTTGTGATTTTTTTAAAGATTTCATTTTTGGATAATTATCAAATATTTTCACCCAAAATTTTAATTATATTTTAAATTTTTATTTAGGAAAAGAATACGATTACTTTTATTAAAATTTTATCTAAATTATTCCATCATTTTGGTTAAATTTAAAAAAATTTCCCACTTAGAGATTCCTTAAAAAATTTACCATTTGAAATTTTTAGAAATCTAATCATTGGAATAATTGTTAATTCATTTCCAAGAATTTTATTAAATTTATTATTTTTAATTAAAAATAAATATTAATTATTGTTATTGAAACTTTATCTAAATTTTTCTTTCATTTGGGTTAAATTTAAAAAAATAATTAGAAAATTTCTTACTTAAAAATTTTGTAGAAATTATCTATTTGTAATTTCTAAGAATTTCATCATAAGATTTTATTCATTGTTTACTTCCTAATATTTTTAGAATGAAAATAAATGCCAATTATTTATGTTGAAATCTTTTCTAAACTTTTTCACTATTTAGGTTAAATTTTAAAAAAAAAATTTTCACCTAGAAATCTCTTTTAAAAAAATCAACCATTCTTAACTTTTAGATTTTCAATTATTAAAAATATTATATAAAAAATTATTTGAGTTTATTTATTTATTATTTATGTTTTTTATTAATATTAAATAATAAAAATCTTTTTCCTAAAATTATGCATAAAACAAAATGAATAAATAAATAATGAAATAATGCAAAAAAAAAAAAGGCCAAATAAAAATAGGAAAGTAAAGGACCAAGGTTGGTTGCATGCACGTGGGCCTCCTCTAGCTGATCAAATCACTTTTGTCTTCACCTTGTTTCTTCATTCCCATATTTAGTTCTTTTGCTTTTTCATCAAAGCAAACTAAGACAACTGCCCATTTACTAGCCATTTGCACCGTCAAGCTTGACACATCGGCAATGAGTTCTTCTCCTTTTCTTTTTCTCATGTTTATTCTTCCCTTGCCATGTCGACCAAACCTATCCTGGCATTTCGGGCAGTTGGAACTCGCTGCCTTCTTCATTGCCTCTTTCTTCTGTATCACTTTGCGTGCTTGAAAACTCTGTACTTTCGTTCAATTGTTGATACTCTTTTGCCTTTTTTTTTTTTTTTGCGATCTAAAGGTTTATTTATAAGGTCCAGTAAAAAAAAAATTTAGATTGATTTCAACTCAAAAAATTAGAATTATTATGAAAAGATAAAATTTATTTTTGAAAAATTTAACTTTAAATTTAATCATGATAAAACTATATTATCACCGGTCACTCTTTAATTTATGACCATTCATTCTTTTTTTAATTATCTTTTTTTTTATATAACTAGATAAATTAAAAAATTAGATAAATGTAAAAAAATTAAATAAATACAATTAAAGATAAACAACAAATAAGTAAGATAAAATAAATAATAAAATAAAACAAAGAGGATAAATAAGATATATATATATATATATAAACAAAGTGAAAACATAATTTTAATAATTGGGCTTAGGTCATTCTGAGCCCAATTAAATAAATATAATTAAAGATAAACAATAAATAAAAAAGTTGTCTAAGGAAAAAACTGAAAGTTAAAGGACATAAAACTTGTCTTTGTGCTTGTTCCTAACCTTTAAATTCAAATCTAAATTTTTAGACATCAAAGAAAAATAAACATTAGTAAAACAACTATGGATAATTTAAACATGCCAGTATATATATGAGAGGATTCTAAACATATGAATGAGAGGTCTTCTTGTCTGACAAACATGCTTATCAGTCTTACACACTATACATAGCTAAAACATGGCAGAAGAGTTCTACAATCCTCCATTTAAAGGAAACTGATTCCTGCCCTTATAGCATTTTCAGGATACTGGTAGCTTTCATCTGACAGAATTAAGATGTTCTTCACTAAAACAGAAACAGCAGAAAATACCATTTAGTTCACCAGAATATTAGCTGCACAGGCATAGAAACAACTTGTTAAGGTCAACTGGGATTGTTTCCTTTATATATGGTCATTTAGAATCATCATTATGTCTTAATAATTAACATTTCCATGATGAAATATTGAGATATATGATAAAACTCTATGATGGTAGGCTACAGATCATATGTTGTTTCATGAAAAATACTGTAAATGGTGCATGTTGATTATGTAATTTTGATGTGCATTGCCCCTCCAAAAAAATTGACGTGAAAGATTCTTACAGTAATTGAAGAGCCATCTGGTCCTGATGGGGGTAATGATTGGTAGATTGTAATGCATTGACTTGAAAGCAGTTCCGAGAGTCAAATGGCTAAGAATGCATGACCTCAAAGTTAGACCCTTTTGGCATCAAATTCATGTTCAGTTGCTTCCTCTCATTCTCAGCTATCTGCAGCATAAAGTAATGAGTTCCTCAATTAAATCATTAATGTTTCTATGATTGCTATATACAAAGACAGCAAAACAGTGCTGCACCACTCATACACAAAGAAAAGAAAAGAGAGAGACCTTTGCTCGAAAAAGTTGGTTATTTTTATGCAAGTCAATTTCCTGTAATGGACAATTTTATCGACAAAAAGAATAGCATTGTCATGCAGCCTTGTGAAACGGTTTTAACAAAATAGTATGCAAGATCCCTATATCGCCTTCGTTTGCCAGATCAAGGCATTGTATATCTAAGAAAAAAGTACAATTTTATTTGTGGAGGGATTAAATATAGTATTGCATATAGTTCGAATACAAAAGTTTCAGTTTAAGTTGGAACCGCTTGCATTTCTAATAGTAATTAAGTAAATGGAGCTTGAAAATTTCCATATTTGGACTACTGAAAGCTCCATCATCAGAAGCTATAGCTTTTTGTATTTCAAGCTTTTTGTACCATTCACAAGATGACCACAAAATAGACATATTCTGACACATCATGCATCAGTGTACAGAGATCACCCTATACCTTTCGGATCCTTTTAACTGATGGCCACAGCTAAGTTGGCAAAATTATTGCATTATACCACACTCAGGCAATTAATCATTTTCGATTAAATGTGATATGAAGACCAACATGAGTGACAAAAATTCTTACTTTTCTGCAGACAGCTCATTTTGGTTACCGCTGCAGGCTTCAAGTTGTAGGATTGTAGAAAGCAAAAATAAAGCCTCTCAGTTTATACGACAGATGCGTTTCCCACATTTAAAAGGGAAAGAAATAAAATGCCAACTATTAATGGAACTAGGTCTAACCTTGGCTCTCATCTGTTCCAGCAATGAATCTCTTTCGTCTACCTTTGGAATGATTGGAAGTCCAACCTGCACAGTTACCTTTCTCAACTACAAAAAAATTCAAACTGTTACTCCACAAGAAGAAAAGTCATACTGGAAAAAATTGAAATGCAAGGCCATAGTTACCTTGCTTTTGCCATGAGCAGCAACAGCATCAATGAGAGGATTGAGAGGTCGAGGAAGCTTAAAAGTCGGATTCCCATTTGAGTTTTTTCTTTTTTTTTTTTTTAAATTACATACAAAGCAAAATAAAAATGTCCAACTTTTGGGCCAAGTATTGATTACTTGGGTTTCTGAAAAAAGTTAGACTTTTTTCATTACTGAGGAATTACACATAAACTTTATTGATGCCTAAAATAACAAATGGATGAAAATTTTCAAGCCGCGTATGCAATAAGTTCCTAATCTGCATTACTCTTCTATGACAACTGTTTGCAATCACTAAGTTTTAGAATCTGCTAAAACTTTTCAACTCCCATGGTTTTACTCTACCATTCCCAAATTCAAACTCTGCGCCTCTCCCCATCTCTGTTATTGTCCCCTAGGTCATCCCTGCATGCCATGCTGGAGAGGTTTCTGTTGAAAAACCCTTTTCACAAGATTAAAAGTAGGTGAAGGAGGAGCTACTGTTGCGGTTGATGCCACCGTCTAAAAGCTCACCCAATGACTAGAGTCCACAGTTAAGGCATCAGACTTATCACATTTTGATATAGTGGCCGGTATGTAGTGCGGTTGCCTTATGAGGCCAGATAGGGCTGAGCTAGCGAAAAGCGGGTGGTGAAAAAAGTTAAGGGAGCTTTAGGCTTAGATCCTCTAGATGTTGAAAAAGAACTCTCTTATGGAGAAGAACACTTATTCTGAAGAACTCTCTTCCGGAGATGCTTTAGGCATTGGAAAGGGTTATCACGATAACTCTCTTTTAGGGAAAGCTTCCTTTCCTTTACATTACTTGGCTGTTCTTAATGGGACAACTTTTAATATATGTATAGATATTACTATCTAAAAATCTTAAAAATAATTTTGGCATATTATTATATATTTAAAAGAAATTATGAATTTATATAATTTTATCAATTTTGACGAAAAGTTAATATCATTTTTAGTGCAAGTAGGACTGTAAGATTCGGACATATTACTATATAAAAATCTTAAAAACAAGTAAAGTATTTGTTTATTTTTTTAAAGATTATCATAAATCAAATTAATCTTAAAATAAAATAATTATTATTTTCTTTTTTTATGGTAGTACTATGTAGTTTTTTTTTTCTTAGAGATTAAATATAGTGTTGTTATTATTGGTAAATAGAAAAAAATTAATTTTTAGCCTTGATAGATTTTTAAAATACCTTGAGACAAAAGTTAATTAAAAAGAAAATTGTTAAAAACAAAAATATAGCAGTAGTAGTACTAAAAACTTTATTATATCTTTGTGTCATTTTTATTATCAACATTTCATCAAATTAAAATTTATGAAAAATAACACCTAAATTAAAAATTATTATGTAACACTTTCATTTGCAATAATAATAATAATAATAATAATAATAATAATAATAATAAATAAATAAATAATGTACATATTATTTTTTTATGCATATGATTATTTTTAAAAAGAGCAAATTATATTCATAAAGTAATATTTGCGAATCTTTGTAATGTAAGCTTGATTAAATTGTTGGATAAAATATGAAAATGTTTAGTAAAAGTGTGTCCAAAGAAAAAATTAATTGAAAAAAAAAAAACTTTTTAAGAACAAAATCACAAAAATAATATACCTTTGAAAGAAAAGTTACAATCATAAAAATAATCACATTAACTTTCGAGTGACACGTATTTTGTAATATAATTTATTTATGATTAATGAATATAATTTTTTAAATTATTAATTTAACTTAGACTTTTATATTTATGAAATAATAAAAAAGCCACCTTAAAAACGTTTTTAATATAAAAATAAAGTAAATAATTTTGTAATTTAAAATTGTATTTTTTTGTTGTATTTGTAATTGTATGTTATATAAATTAATTACTTTTAAATTGCTTTTGTTTAACTTTTTATTTAATAAATTTTAAAATACTTAAATATATTTTTTAATTTCACAAGGAAAAAAAATTCTCTGTCTAATAGATCCCTATGGGAGCAGCCAAGCAAGGACAAGGAGGAACATCCTCCCCTCGGCGACCAGGGACAAGGAATGCACTTCCCAGTGTGTAATTAATTAATATCACTTTAAACCGTAATTAATTAATATCACTTTAAACAGAAATTTTAATTATGTCATAGTAATTAATTAATATTTTTGTTTTTATCATTTACACATTTTTTATTACATAACGTGAATTACACTCATGTATTTTTTAATTTATTTTTCTTGATGGTAATTTTTTAAAAAAATCAATCTGGAGTTTGTATTTATTTTTGGAAGACGCGATGGAGTTTGTTTCTGTATGCATTTGTTTATGAGTTGATAAAATTAAAAATTGTGTGAATTTGTTATTTTTTATTATATTATTATTTGCTCTCACACAATATATATTCTTTTATATTAATAAATATAATTCTCAAAACAAAATATTTAAATATGTCACCTATTAAGACTTTTCTTTTCAATATGTTTTATGTTCAAAACTATATATATATATATATATATATATATATACTACTAATCAATTTATGGGATAATAGTTATATATGTTTTATCTTTAAGTTAATTACATTTTTTGTATCTAAACTTTGAAAATATATATAAATTGATACCTAAAGAAATAAAATGTATAATTTACATATTAAACTTCCAAATAATGTACAATTTAAACTCTAAACTTTCAAATTATAAGCCATATTAATCCGAATTCTAATATGCTAACCATATCAACGGCATTTGATAAATATTATCAAGTTACGTGTTTATAATACATACGATCAATATTTTTTTATTATAAATTAACAAATATATTTTTCAATTTACCTAAATAATAAAAAGTGTTTAAAATCGATCAATCATTTTTTATCATGTGACATCCATATGAAAGTTTTTATAAAATATTTAACACTTTTATTTAATAAATAATATGCATATAATAAAATTATACTGGTTAGATACTATATAAGTGAATTATGTCAACAATATTAAAATTTTGATTAAAATGATATATTATTTGAAAGTTTAAGGTATAAATTATGTGTTTTATTCAAAGTTCAAAAGTGTAATTAACTTTTTATTTTTTGGTTATTCTTGGCATTTGATGGAAACTTGTTATACATACAAAAGTGAATAAATATTAAGAAAATTTTAAAAGCCCTTTATTATTTAAGCAATATTAATTGATAAACAAAGGGGAACCAATTTAATCTAATGTTGGTGCAGCTTTAATGACACAAGTATTCCATACTTGATCCCCTTTAATGTAAATTTGAGAAGCCATAGGGTGCAACTCCGGCACAGAGACGAAAAACTTGAGTAAGTCCTGATGGCAAGTTTTTCCCATTCCATTAACAAGCTCACCGCAACATTTCCTAGAATTGTCGACATTCTCAAAAAGGGATTTGACAACATTTTCTCCACATTGGCGACTCATCTTTTGGGTGCATTCCTCCAAAAATTGGTAAAAACCTGGTTCAGGCTCTGGGGGGATTGTAACCTTGACGTCGTCTTGGGAAGGAGATGGTGCCTCCACTTCAGCTGCAGCAACAGGGCTTGCCAAAGCAACCATGGAAGCAGCTGCCACCATTGATGAGAGCAAAGCGACCATGATAGCTAAATTGTTTAGTTTTGCCATGGTGTTGGTTTGATTCAAATGATACCAAGAGAGAGATCAATTGGTATGGATTTTGAGGTTGAGGTGAGGGACTTTTTTATAGCCTACCTAATACAAATAAATATCGTTTAACGTTTTAAGAAAATAACGTTTCAACTATTAATGGGCATTTAGTTTAAATTTAACGATTTGTTTAAGTTTTTTCATAATTGACAAAATTTTTACCTGATTTTGGTCATTAATCTTCTTTGTTACATTAATCTCCATCTTTAAAAAAAAAAAAACACACACACACACACATTAAGACAACGGCCCAGACTAAGCCTTCTATTAAACTAAAAATAAAGAAATCAACATTACACTTGAGAATTTGGTTTGGAACTGCATCATTTGACTAATAATAAGGAAAAAGGTAAATTACATCCCTGTTTCTTAGGATTTGAGTCTTTTTTTTTTCGAAAAAAAATTATAGTAAGTGAAGACCTTTTCAATTCAAGATTAAGACGAGTTGCAAGCTTCATAGAGTAGTTACATTAGATTTACAAGTCGTCTGTTAAGAGAAATTGGTTATAAATGAAGCATTGGATTATTATCATTTCAACAAACTCTTATTGAGTCGTCGCATGTTGTTTTGATTTTCAAATTTTCAAAAGTAACTTATCGATTCTTATACTATTAATATTGTAATGAGTGGTCTTTTCATTAATTTTTCTATTAATTTTAAGATTAAGTGTCACCTAAGCAATATGTGTCACACGTATGCTCCATACTTATTTGATGATATGTCTATAATTACTTTGTTGAAAATTTTTAATTTAATTTTAAGTTTTAAAAAATATAATTTTATTTTAAAAATATATTTTACTAATAAAACATATTATAATAAAAAATAAATATTAATCATTTTTAATATTATAAATTAAATTATTTTTGTTAAAAATTCTAATTTTATCTTATTTTTAAAAATCTATTTTCTATTTAAAAAATGGTCAAATTTATCAAAGGTTCCTATACTTTATAAAAATTTAAAATTTAATTCATATACTATAATTCATATAAATCTAATTCTCATACTATTTTGATTCGATAATTTTATTTAAATTAATAATTTTGTCAATATTTTGTCATTTAAAATATTGACGTGATAGTTGACTTGATGACGTGATGTTAACTTATTGAAATGATAATTTGAATAGATAAAATTAATTGCTAAATTATATAAAATGTTTTTGTACTCATACAAAATTTAAAATTTAATTTTTATACTTGTATGAAATTTTACATTTAGTCCCTATAATATAAAAAATAATTTTTTTGAGTTTTTTAAATTATTAAATAAAATAAAAATATTTTGAATTTTTTGAAATTTTCAATAAAATATTAAATTTATTTTTTCAATATTTTATATTTTTAACTTGATTTTTTGAAATTTTTTGTATTTTTAATTTTTTTAATATTTAGAAATTTAGAAATTTCATAGAAATTTTTAATATTTGTATTTTTCTAGAAATTTTCTAGTTTTTTAAAAATATTAAATTTACTTTTTTCAATATTTTAATTTTTTTAAATAAAAAACATATTTTGAATTTTTTATGCTTTCAAATTTTAACATTTTATTTAACAAAATATTTTAATTTTTTTTAACTTTTTAGAATTTTTATAAAATTTTTATATTTTTAATTTCTTTTTTATAGAAAATTTTATATTTTTTAATATTTAAATGAATAAATAAATAAATAAACTGAAAAAATACACAGATCTTTAGAATTTTTTTCTTGTTTGGTACATTTGAGATGGAAAAGTATAAAAATTTTGGTAAAACAAAGAAATAACAAAACATGAAGAACTTTTAATTACGATTTATTCTTTACCTAAATAAAATAAAAAACAAATAAAAAATTTTAAAATTTTATAAAATCTTTTTTAAAACATAAAATATTATAAAAATTTTATAAAAACAGAAAAATTAGAAAATTTTATAAAAATTCCAAAAGTTTTAAAATAATAAAATTAAATATTTTGTTTAAATAAAAATGTCAAATTTTGAAAAAATTCAAAAACTTTTAAAAAATAAATAAAAAATTAAATATTGAAAAAAATTAAATTTAATATTTTTAAAGACTAGAAAATTTATAAAAAATTCAAAATATTTTTTATATTTGATGGATTAAATTTTAAATTTTATACAAATAAAAAATTAAATTTTAAATTTCGTGTGAATAAAAAAATCATTTGTATAATTTAATAATTAATTTCATCAATTTAAATTATCACGTTAGTAAATTAATGTTATTCAGTAAAGTCAACGATCATGTTAATATTTTTAAGGATAAAAAATTGATAAAATTAATAATTGGATTAAAATTATCAAATCAAAATAATATGTAAACTAATTTTTTATGAATTATAATACAAAAACTAAATTTCAATTTTTGGCAAAGTTTTAAGATCTCTAGCATAATTTAACATATTTTATTAATAAATCATATTATAATAAAAATACTATTTCACAAAATTTTAATCCAATTTATCTCTTTTGTACTAGAACCAATCTAGTATGGGCAGGAAGCCCCTTACCGGTGGGCCTTGATTTTAAGATTTTAATTTTTTTTAACTATAAAGATAAAACCCATTGGGGGTGGGGGGGGGGGGGGTTTACTTATAAAAAGAAGTAATTAGTAGATTTGGTTAGTTTTATATTAGAATTAGAATTATTAATTTTAGCAAAGACATTATACCATATTTGATTCACCAATTAATGCCACATGAGCATAGAAAAAAGTTGACTACATTCGCCCACAAAAATTAAAAAGAAAAACTAAAAAAAAGTTGACAAACTAACCATGTTTGGGCTAACTTACACACTGTTCAAAAACTCTGAAATAATAGGAAAACTATGTCCATTCTTAACTTTATTCTCTTACTTCAATCTAGACTTCTATCTATATTAATTGTGTAAAATAAAATTAGACAAACATTTTCCAGTTTTATGCCAAAAAAAAGGAAATTTTATCATTAATTCAAAGTGAAATTATGATAAATAGACATTATTATTATGACACAAATAATATAATATAAAAATAATATAATTTAAAATTATAATAAAAAATTGTATACGAGAAAGATAGAAATTAAATTATATATCTTACATTTTATATATCGATACGAATTAATATAAAAATTTTTATATTATATATATTTAGCGTAAAATAAAAAATTCGAAAATATATATTTTGCTTTTGTCTTTTATCCAAAATGAAATTACCTATATAGCTTCGAATTTTCCAAAAGAGAATAGCAAATTTGATTCTATATCATATGATCACGTGGCATGAGAGTGTAGTAAAGTCTAGCAGTACAGTCAGGCATTCTCCATTGTAAAAAATTCCAAAATAGGCAGGATTCAGTAAGTTGATTTTGAATTTTTTTTTTAGATAAATTTTATATTACAAGAAATTTTTTGGTATTTGATATTTTAAATTAATAAGAATACCCAGTAAAATCATGCTAAATATAAAAGATATTTCTTTATCGCCACATTTTTATTGTCATATTAACATTAAAAAAAATTAAAATTTAAAAAATTAAAAAATATTACTAATTTAAAAAGATCTAAAATATTTTAAAATTTAAAAAAATTAAAAAATTTCAAAAAACTAAAATTAATTTAAAATTTCAAAAAATTTCGGAAAATTACAAATTATAAAATTTTTAAAAATTAAAAGAAATCTAACCATTTTTTAAAAATTCCAAAAAATTCAAAAATAAAATTTGAAAAACTAAAAATAAGAAAACTAAAAAATAGTAGAATTTTTAAAAAAATTTGAATCTCTAAAAAAATTGAATTTTAAAAATTCCTAAAAAGTCAAAAAAAGAAAAAGATATAAGATTTTTTAAATATTTAAAAAATAAATTCTCAAAATTTCTAGAAAATAAAAAAATAAAAAAATTCCTAAAATTTTTATAAAATATAAAAAATTAAAATATATAAAATACAAGAAAATTTTTAAATATTAAAAAAATACTAATAAAACAATCTGACAACTTAAGAAAAAAAATTTTTAAATCTGAAAAACAAAAAAACTGAAAAAAAATAATCTAAAGAGTAAAATTTTATTTTTCATATTGTTTTTAATTTTTCAGATTTTTAAATTTTCCTGGATTTTTAAAAACTTTCAAGTTTTTGAAAATATTAATTTTTAATTTTTCATATTTTTATTTTTTTGAAAATTTTTATAGTTTTTTTGAATTTTTAGGAATTTTTAAATTTTACTATTTTTAAAATTTTAATAATTTATTTTTGAAATTTTTGAAATTTGGGATTTTTATAAAAATTTTCATACTCTTAAATTTTTTTTATTTTTTGGATTTTTTAATTTTTAATTTTCCTAGAACTTTTTAAAATTTTTTAAGAATTTTTTAAAAATTCTTTTGTAATTTTAATGTGATAACTATGATGTGATAAAAATCAAACGTTTTTTATATGTGTTATGAATTTATTGGTTATTAATATCATGTTAATAATTTAAATAACAATATTTGTTTGAAGTATTAAAATTTATGACAAAATAAAATTTTAAATATTTAATTATAAATTTTATTTATATAAATACTGAATTGATTAAAAGTGTAGAATAAAAAAATGATTATTTTCATATTTAACTCTGTTAAAAAGTCTGATTAAAAGTAAAAACAAGTAAAAGTTTCTGGTTCTGGGTTTTATTTTATCTTTTTTTAAATTGTTCTACTTTCTGTGCGGTTTATTTCTTAGGATCCAATATAATTTCAAAGATTTTTTTTTTTTTTGGTTATAATCCTTAAAATTGCATAAAATGTTTTTATTTATGGTGTTTGGTTGGATAAAAATATCATAGATTTATTTTATTTTTCAGTAAAATTAGAAATATTATTTGAGTATTATTATAAAAAAAATTGGTAGGACAGTTGAAAAATGAACCCAATCAATCTATGTTGAGGGCCCCTATTATTTGCCGACCAAAATAGGAGAGAGCGAGCTGCGA